AGAGAAAGTAAAAACCAAAGTAGAAACAAGCACACAGCTTTGAAATACACAGTCGCAAAACAAAATGTTTGAAACTTTTCTAATTCACAGCTACACATGTATTAATAATACAGCCTCGTACAGATCAGATCACACAGCTTTGAAATACACAGTCGCAAAACAAAATGTTTGAAACTTTTCTAATTCACAGCTACACATGTATTAATAATACAGCCTCGTACAGATCTCATCACACAGCTTTGAATAAAAAAAAAACTACAGCACATTACGTTTGTCAAGTTGCTTTTGATTTCTTATGCATGACGAAGAATTTGATAAGTTCTGTGATTGTGTGATTAGGCCGTGTGACGCGCCTGGCTTAACTCAAGTAGTCTGTCGGCGGTCTGCAATATATCCGTTTATTTCAATATGGCCACGTGATCTCAGTCCTGTACATCCAAACACCACAGATTTAAAAAATCGATTACTTTATTTACAATAGTAATCGACTTCGTATGTGTTACATGTAAATAAACATCATATGGGTGGTCCATAAATGACGTCACACTCGTAGGGGGGGGGGTTGTAATTGTTTGACAGTGTGTGATGAAGGGGAGGGAGGGGGGGGGGTGTTCAGACCCTCCAAAACACACCCTCCAAGACGCACCCTCCAAGAAGCACCCTCCAAGACGCAGCCTCCAAGATGCACCCTGCCCTGGCTGCGACACTGGCAACACTATCTGATATTATTCTTGCTACTGTAGCTACAATTAAAAACAATATTTGTATGGTTCTGGGATAGGTAGAGTCCAGAATACTGGTCACGTGATGAGCGGGGTCCGAAGCCGTGGGGACGTCACTGTTCTGACGTCACTCTCCTGGTGTCCAGATCAATTGTAACAGGTGGATGTTGAAAGGTTAGAACACCTTGGCCGACAGGTAAATGGGCCCTGAGAAAAATGTTGGCCCATACAAAAAGTTGGCCCAGACATGACAGTTGGTCCTGAGAAAAATGTTGGTATAGATAAAACAGTGGGCCCAGACAAAAAGTTGGCCTAGATAAGAAAGATGGCCCATTTGAGAAAAGTGTCTCGGGCAAAAAAAATGTTGGCCCAGACAAAAATGTTGCCCTGAGAAAAATATTGGCAGAGACAAAAAGTTGGCCCTGAGAAAAATGTTGGCCCAGACAAAAAGTTGGCCCAGACAAAAATGTTGGCCCGGACAAAAAGTTGGCCCAGGAAAAAATGTTGGCCCTGAGAAAAATGTTGGCACAGACAAAAAGTTGGCCCTGAGAAAAATGTTGGCCCAGACAAAAAGTTGGCCCAGACAAAAATGTTGGCCCGGACAAAAAGTTGGCCCAGAAAAAAATGTTGGCCCTGAGAAAAATGTTGGCACAGACAAAAAGTTGGCCCTGAGAAAAATGTTGGCCCAGACAAAAAGTTGGCCCAGACAAAAATGTTGGCCCGGACAAAAAGTTGGCCCAGAAAAAAATGTTGGCCCTGAGAAAAATGTTGGCACAGACAAAACATTCGGCCCAGACAGAAAGTTGGCCTAGATAAGAAAGTTGGCCCATTTGAGAAAAGTGGCTCAGGCAAAAAATAAATGTTGGCCCAGACAAGAACATTGACCCTGACAAAAAAAATTGACCGAGACAAGAAAGTTGCCCCGGACGAAAAGCTAACTTTGACAAGAAAGTTGACCTACATAAGAATAATGGCTTAGACAAGAATGTTGGCCAAGAGAAGAAAGTTGACCCGGAAAAGAAAATTGGACCAGGCAAAAAAAGTTGGTATAGCAAGAAAGTTGGCCCATTTTAGAAAAGTGGCCCAGGCAAAAAAAGGTGACCCAGGCAAAACAGTTGGCCCAGACAAGTTAGTTGGCCCAAACAAGTTAGTTGGCCCAGAAAAGTAAGTTGGCCCAAAACAAGTTAGTTGGCCCAGAATAGTAAGTTGGCCCAAACAAGTTAGTTGGCCCAAACAAGTTAGTTGGCCCAAACAAGTAAGTTGGCCCAAACAAGTAAGTTGGCCCAAACAAGTTAGTTGGCCCAGAAAAGAAAGTTAGCCAGACAATAAAGTAGGCCCTAACTAGCAAATTTCTCAATGTAACGATTACAATATATTCCGAGTCGTATAACTGTTTACAATGTCTGAAAGCGATATTGGTAAGGTCTAAAATCCACAGTTATAATTAGACAAACCAACCTAATTAGGAGATCCGTGATTGCTATCTATATTTAACTAGACTCTTTTTATAAGTTAAGACAATTAACCGTATTTCGCGGAGTTAATTTAATTTGTAAAAAACATGTTAATTTAACCATGTGATTGTCAACTAGTAACGAATTTAAAACGTTGATTTCTCATAAGTTTCTTACTTATATATTTAATAGAAAACATGTCTGTAGGCAATATAATGCGTTAGCAATTGGCAGTCAGTTTCTTCCAGGCATCTCTTCGGGGGGGTGGGGGGGGGGGGGGGGGGAAAGGAGCACCACGCCTTCCCCCCCCCCCCCCCCCCCCCCCCTTAGAACGAAATGGAATTTATATTGAAAATATATTTTTTTAACAGTGTCCGCCCCACCTCGCCCCCGAAAATTTTAGAAAATAAAACTAATTTGCTTTCTTTAATAAAGAGTCTAGGCTCCAAAATGTGTGTACGATATTTCATGAGCGACAAATGTTTTTATTAAAGAAAGCAAATTCTTTTTTTTTTCAGAGCATTTGAATGCTTATTATTTTATAAAGTTTCAAAATAATTTTTTTTTTTAATTTTCCACATTTTAGTAATACGTTCCAAATGAAGCTTACATCCATTTTCTTTACTACCAATTCTTATATGTAAGATTTTATTTAATAAGCAGATACATTTAGTTTCCTTCTAGACGTCAGTAGGCTGCCGTTGGTTAATACGCAAACCGTATAGGTCAGGGGTCGGCAACCTGTGGCTCGCGAGCCGCATGCGGCTCTTTTGATATCAAGATGCGGCTCTCCAGCTCCTTGAACAAATACTAATAATCTTAATAAAAAAATAAAATATTTGAAATAAAAAAAAATGTTTGTGGCTCTTTAAAACCAGGGAAATTTTGAAAATTGTAACTTTTGGCTCTTCTGCTTCAAAAGGTTGCCGACCCCTGGTATAGGATAATTGGAACAACATCACTGTTTCTTTTTTTTTTTTTCTTTGTTTCAATCCCTTTATTCAAAAGGATCCAAAATTAGAATATTCTGTTTTGTTTTCTCCGGCAAAATAATAACGAACTTTAATTATATAAAATAATAAAAATTCAATACTTAAGGGTTTGATTAATACGCATATTCAAGGATTATTTTTGTGATATTATTTATTTATTAATGTTTACATTTTTTCTGATAACAAATCTTTTTGTGTATAATAAAAGTAAAAGTCATAATATCCAAATTAATTTCTTTCCGTTTTTTTTTGTTTATTTGATTTAGAGATTACTCTTTAAGTTGTTTCCCTTAGGTAGTGTTTTACAATTTGATATGGGAGATAACATTTTCCTTTGCAACAAAACATTCAGTCAAAACATACATTATTGCCTGATAAAAGCACTACAGTTACGGTATGTTCACGTAAATTTTTATCGAACAAAATAAGAAAGCTCAAGTCGTATTTCATGGCTGATAATGTACTTTAACTAATACATGTTTCGTTGCTTATTAATGCTTTTCGAGTAATCTTTCAACATTGATACAACCTTTGGACTAGTTTAGCCAGTTACTGATTGATCTAATTTGTTCGATGAAATGTAACTGAGTTCTCAATCTTGTAAGACTTTATAAATAATTCTCAGTAGTTTCAGTGTCACCCCCCCCCCCCTTTTTTTTCTCTTTAAATTTTCCAGTTGGTGTCAACTCGCGACGCTGTGCAGTCTTATCTTGTGCTTGAGAAAGTGGTCTTGTCATACGTATGTTAAAGTGCCTAAGACATTTTATGTTAGATGAAAGCATGTGTCTATAATTTTCGTTGTAGTATCTACTTGAATAAAATTACACAACTATTGAGGTATATTTTGTCCATTCTTATTTTTATCTTGGTTAAGTGTAGCATCCTGCAAATTCCTAGAATAATTAAACCGTTATAGTAGTGTGGAGTAATACTGCACATTATATGTATATGTTTTTAATTGATGTTCTCTTTTATGATTCTGAGACGTGGAGAGTAACATATACTACAAACATCAAACTTCAGATTTTCTATAACGGATGTCTCCGCAGCATATTGAACATCATGTGGCCTGAAAGATTAACATTGCCGAACTATGGAGACAAGCACGGCACGACCCTACTGTCAAAGAAATACGCAAACGCACATTGGTATGGAATGGACTAACCCTGTGTAAATCAAACTATCATCCGCTTCGTCTAGGGACAAAAAAAGAAAGATAGGTAGGACATAACAAACGTGGAAAAATGTCAGCTGTAAGTGAAGCAGAACCAGCCGGAATTTCGTAGGCTAAACTTGGAGGATTCACACAGAACAGAGTACGATGAGGGGGGGGGGGTGTTAGTTGCGTCCCTACACTCGTCAAGAGGTCCACATGAATGATGGTGGTAAAAGCGATGATAATGTATGTAGTTCTAAATACTTTTAGCCAATAAGCAACGGATTTAACGTTGTATATTCCGATTTAACTCTCTGCCTTATGGCTTATTTCTGGCAGCCATTTTATTTTAAACTGTTGGCTTCTGCCATATTTTATGTTAATTGCATATTTTAATTTTTTAAGAATGTTATGATTTACTAAAGGCTGTTTTAAAAATGCATTAAATTTAATTTTGTTCTAGGTTGTATCTAAATTTTTAAAAATACGTTTGCTTTTGTAATAGTGTTGTGTTTATAAAATTAATTTCTTTAAAATATAAGTCTATTTAAAAACAAAATGTTTAGAATTTGAACACGCAAAACGTGTACAAAATAATTCTTTTTAATATTTCTAGAACAAAATATACACAATGTGCTAACAAACTCTCAACATATTACTAAACAAACTTTTTGGGTCACCGGCATTGTCCGGTTAACCATGCATGCATGTCGTACACCTTCGGTTTAATATCCCCAAACAGGGCGTCACACATCAAACACAGCGCACCTTGTGACCCCGTGGGCCTGTACATGTCCTTGACCTTCAGATACCGGGTATAGGTCGCCTCGTCCTGACCTATGACCTTTAGATACATCGCCAGGTCCCTCGCCGTCTGGAACCAGCCCGTGTTGATGAAAGAACCGTTGGGCAGCAGACAGTCATAGTCTGCCCCACCCATGACGACGGGAACCACGTGACGGCCGGGGGTGAACGCGTTGAAGAACTTCTCCGTGACGTAGTCCACACAGACAGAGTTCTCAAATCCCAGGTAAAACTTGTAGGTGTTGAAAATTTTATCCAGGCATCCGGTGTCATTTATGTCAGGGCACACTAGTCTTTTAGCACATGACCCAAAGAATTCCACATCAATGTATTTCTGTTTGAAAGTATTAAAAAAATTTTTTTAAGCGTTTACACACACAAACACACACACACACACACACACACATATATATATATATATATATATATATATATATATATATATATATATATATATATATATATATATATATATATATATATATATATATATATATATATATATATATATATATATATATATATATATATATATATATATATGAATCCTTCTCTCACGTATTTGTTTTATTTACTTCTGAATGAAGCGTATATTGATTATTATTCGCTATGTATTTTATTTTCACATCTATTTGAAAACCGTTGGCCACAATCTGCCATTTTGCGAGAGTTTACGAGTGCAAGTGGTCGATCTAGTTCAAGCATTTTAAAAAATGTTTAGTTTATATAAGTTCTCGACTCCATCCAACTGTCTTTCATATTTGAATTTCTATCTTCAATACCCAGCTACTATTTTAACCGGATACTATTCTAACCGGATACAATATTGTTTTGGCTAGATTTTTTATAATTTTTTCGATTTGGTGTCGCCCGCTAAAAGTTGCCTAAGGGTGCGGACCACACCCTTGCCTGCCCCTTGTGACGATACTGTGTTTACTGAACATTAACAATACAGCTGATAACACAAAATGGTCATGTAGATAACATACTTGCATTTCTTTGACGTATTTGTGTGTGCTACAGTGACTGACAATCCACACGGCTGTTCTGTTTTTCATTTTAAAAATCTCACCTGCCGTTAAAAAAACAAATCTTGTCAATATTCATTCCCATTATACATTTTTTTAAATTAAAACAATATATGAAATAGCAAGTGATATATCATTTCACAATGCCAGTAACGTCGAAATGAGTATAGCGTAAATATAGCAGAAGAATGTATTAAAATGTATGCATGTGTTTATAAACTTTGCTGAATTTTCTTTGGAACGGAGATAACAACGATGCGTAATCATAAATATAACTTACATAGAGCGATAGTAATTCCACCATTTTAACTGTTAAATGGATATTTGTGTCAGTTCTAAAATAAAGTTCAACAGTGTAAATATTTAAACCAGATGATAATTACCCGTTTGCTTTGATTTTTTTTTTAATTTTAAATTTAGTTTGTAAGCATTTAAATAGATGCACGAAAAGTTAGTGTGTTTCGAATGGAAACTCATGAAAACCGCCGCCTTCTTTATTTGTCAGCTAAATATCCATTTTAAAACGGGTATGAGATGTCACATCCTGTCAATGACGTCATTCAATTACATCATGTCAGTCACACCATGTCAATGACATCATTCAATTACATCATGTGAGTTACACCATGTCAATGACATCATTCAATTACATCATGTGAGTTACACCATGTCAATGACATCATTCAATTACATCATTGAGTTACACCATGTCAATGACATCATTATACACAATGTCATTTGCAATCTGTCAGTTAAACCCTGTCCATTACACACTGTCAATTGTACCTGGGAATTACATCCTGTGAATTACATTCTGTGAATTTCACCCTGTGAATTTCATCCCGTCAGTTACACCCTGTCAATTACACCACAGCAATTACAACCTCTCAATTACACCTAATCAACTACATCCTTTTAATTACAACCTGTCAATTACACTTAAAACTACATCCTTTCAATTACAACATGTCCATTATACCTAATCAACTACATCTTTTCAATTACAACCTATCATTTACACCTAATCAACTACCTCCACTTAATTACAACCTGTCTATTACACCTAATCAACTACCTCCATTTAATTACAACCTGTCTATTACACCTAATCAACTACAACCTGTCAATTACACATAATCAATTACAACCTGTCCATAACACATCCACAACGTCCCCTTCCCGATATTCCACTATTCCTTCCTCTGATTAATTTGCCTCTTTGTTTCTTGCAATATAAAATAGTAATGATTTTCTATTAGCTAATTAAATGTGATTTCCATTTTCTGATTCCTTGATAAAAGGGGTTTGCAAGAGCGCGTTCTGACTCCATACCACAACTCCCATGTATTTATTTAATACTTATTATTAACAGGTTCGATGGTATGAATAGAAAAATAAAATACATGAAACAGGCCGAAAGATGTTTGTTATAAAAAATTTAAACATTTTATTTGTTAAACTATCTACTGGTAATAATATTTCTTTAAAAAAAAACCCTTTTTTTATTTTTAAGTAAGGCTTTGTACAATCTAAAATATCCCTTTATTTTTAAATCATATCAATTTTTTATTACTTATCTTTTAACACATCATGAATAATGTAAACAGTTTCTTTTGAAATGCTAAGGTCACAAAAACAGGTAAACAAGTCGAGAAGAGAACTTACCTCGTGTAACCATTATTTTAAAAGCAGAGATCAGTATAATACTATTTTAAATGTAAACATTGCTGATTGCAATGTTCATCAGTGTTAATTACCATAATTACTCACTGTAATTAGGTTTCTGTAAGTGTGGCGTGTACTCAAATCTTAGCTGGTTCACTGGCCAAAAGACATCGGAATCTTGTGTATAGGTGTGGGTCATGTTGAAGGCGTATCTCCATGGGGAAGAGGCTAGAGAGAGGAACGTTGTCTTAGACTTAAAAGCCTAGTCATATATATATATATATATATATATATATATATATATATATATATATATATATATATATATATATATATATATATATATATATATATATACTAAGGCATCATGTTGGAAAAAACGTGTCGCCCTATACGTTACCACCATTTAACAAAAAAATACTTTAGCAAGTGTTTTTATTATATAGTAAAGATAAGAAAAACAAGTTGAAACTTATTTAAGAACAATTTTACAATCTGAGTTAGAATAGTCTGGTTCTAGGCGATATATATATATATATATATATATATATATATATATATATATATATATATATATATATATATATATATATATATATATATATATATATATATTACAAGTTATATGTTTTTCATGAATAGATAATTGAGATAATGAATTTCTTGCAACATACTGAGGTAAATACACGACAAAAGAGCGCCGACATAAGAGCGCAGACAAAAGAGCGCCGACATAAGAGCGCCGACATAAGAGCGCAGACAAAAGAGCGCCGACATAAGAGCGCAGCCAATTAAAAAAACACATGTACGCTAAATGGATATGACATGGTTAACACTTGTTTTAATTAAACAATCGGCGGTACGATAAAACGACGTGTTTATTTATATATTACGAGCCGACCCGCTGCGTATCATACGCCGCTATTTAGTTGTTTTTTTTCTACTTTTCAGTAATTTATAATTTGTGAATTCGACAGTACCAATGCTGCCATTGAAAATATTTGCTTAAAAACACTACCCCCCCCCCCCCCCCCCACGTGAAAGCAGCCTCCTCTTAGTTACCTCCTCTAAGTTTAAAATCGTTTCAATCTAAATTATCTGCCCCTAATAGCCGTCACCAAACCCGTCTCTGCGATTGTAAAATGTAAACAGAGTGAACACCGCTCACCAGATCATGTGGGGGTGGGGTGGGGGTGGTAGTGTTAGTGATAGAGAGGAAGAGAGGAAGAGAGGGGACTGCAAAGGCGCGCTTGCAGCTTGTTTTCTAACTGATCCCAGAAGAGAATTATATATACGAGCCGGCCCGTTGCATAACATACGCCGCTATTTAGTTGTTTCTAATTTTCAGTAATTCATAATTTGTGAATTCGACAGTACCAACGCTGAAACTTAAAATATATCTTTAAAACACTATAAGTAGCTCGTTAAGGACCATAAACCCCCCCCCCTTTCCTCCCCCCCCCCCTACGTTTAAAATCGTTGGCTCTGCTTGTAAACATTTAGAGTGAACACAGCTCACTAAAACCATGTAGGGGTGGGGAGGTAGGGAGCGCGTTTACAGCTTGTTTTCTAGGCGCGTTTGCAGCTTGTTTTCTAGCGGCTCCCAGAAGAGAATTATATATATAGATGTTTAATAGGTTATGAGTGCAGTTTGAAAATATTTCTAACCCAAGTAACATGGAGCAGATCGAATCACAGAAAGGGAAGGTTATTATATTGGTCGAAGGCTACAGATATCGAAAAGACAGAGCAAATGCTGATAGTGCAAATGTTGTTCTGTCATCATCGGGAGGATACTTACATAGGGAGGCGAAGGAGAAATCGTCGAGGTGACCCGCGCTTCGCTCTTGCTATTTGGAATGTCCATAATCGTGTTGCTAAAAATCTACCCCGCGCATTCCAACAAACGGTAGATTGCAATAATCCTTCCGTTTATAAATTGATCAACCAGTTTCGTCTGGAACAAGATCACATCGAAATCAAAATGGAACGTCATCTAGCTGGAGATAATCAACCAGAAGCTTCAAAGAACAAATATGTTCAGCTGAACCGAAGATTGCAGGGGATTGCTTCAACCTATGCTAATGATTCAATGATGGGCTACTATACGAGGTATAGCGCACAACTTAGCAAAATATATGCAACTATAAAGAAACGTTTTATTAATTTAAAATATATTTTCATTTTTGTTACATTTAATTTCAGTTTATATTCTCACTTTAGGCCTAACGTTTAAAATCTTTGTATGTGTTATTAGATTGCGTTTTGAATAATTGGACTTCACGTTGATTATACCAGTTTTTTAGTCAAAGAAACTGAACAATTAGTTTTTTAATAAAACAATAAAGAGTTAACATCAAATGATGCCTTCTGATCTGAGTTAATGTTCTTGTTCCTATTTATTAAATAATTATGGTTTTTTCGATCTTTAGTTTGCGCTCTTTTGTCGGCGCTCTTTTGTCGGGAAATTAGTGCGCTCTTATGTCGGCGCTCTTATGTCGGCGCTCTTTTGTCTGCGCTCTTATGTCGGCGCTCTTTTGTCGTGCGCTCTTTTGACGGGGTGCCGAAATACTGATATAAGATTCTTGACAGTTTTTCTATGTGAGCTATAATATAAGCAATAGATTAATCGATATAGTTAATGACTACTGAGCTTATCTGGACGGCGTGGCCTGGCGGTAGGGAGCTAGCTCTAGAGTCTCAAGTTCGAATCCGGGTTCAAATAAATGGAACGTTCCTGAGTCCACCCAGCCGTGAACAAGGAGGCTGGGCATAGTGTTGGGCACGAACGGGGTTAAGAAGAAGACTGAGCTTATCATATTGTCTAACAGTTCATCTATGTAAGCTCATGTTAGAAGCATTTATCTTTCGAGCTCTGGTCTACTGAAATTAGCTGATTCTTGACAGTGTTTCTGTGTGCGAGCCCATGTTATAAGAATTAGATACTGACAGAAGAGATTATCGGAGTCTTGACAGTTTTTCAGTATGAGTCCCTGTTGTAAGCGTTGGGTTGATCAAGAGAGTTATGGACTACTGAAATTATCCGATTCTTTACAGCCCCTAATGAAAGCATTAGATTAATCGATAGAGATATGGACTACTGAGAATATCAGATTGTCTAACAGTTCATCTATGTAAGCTCCTGTTATAAGCATTTGTCTATTGAGCTCCTCTACTAAAATTATAAGATTCCTGAGAATTTGTGTGAGCCCCTAATGAAATCAATCGTAGAAATAAGGACTAATACGATTATGAGATTCTTGACAGTTTTTCTGTGTAAGCTCAAGACAGAAGCATTAGATTCACCGATAGAGAAATGTATCACTGCGATTATCAGAGACCCACCTTTCTGTAGAGAACTTTTCTGGTAGTGTACTGGCGACTCATGGGCAAACATCACGTAGAGCTGACCCGGCCATCTGACTGGCGGCTTATGCTGGTCCTGTAGTCTAACACCCATCACCATGACAACGTCGGTCTCGTTAGACACGCCACCGTCCTTAAACCGGCACCTACCCACAGCACACCGAGGGCTTGGTGTAAACGATGATTTTAACCAACTTGGCATATTGACTACACTTATTTCGATTAAAGACGAAGATGATTTTTTGTTATTTAAACGAAATAATTCATCTATGTTTAGAATTGTATTATTACATGTAGTATTACTTGATAGATTTATATGGCTTGAGTTTAGAATACAAGGTTTATAATGGAAATCGTGAATTAAATCTCTTCTATTTTGAATACTTGTACGATTAAAAGTAGCAGACACATTATGAACATTGTTGAGATGCATATTGAAACTAGTTGAGTATTTTCGTGAAATAAAATCTTCACCATCTTTGTCTACCATTTCCGATGTTGAGAAATTCACACATATAACAAAGGCAGTGTTTACACATGAAATATCCAAAACTTCTAACAATTTTTCAAATATTGTAATATTTTTAAACACATTTTTCCATCCTTTGAAGTCAATTAAAGAAATATCCACAAAATAGTTCATTAATATAACACTTAACAGCATCAAGAAAACAACTGCCCACAAAATAGATTTCTTGTAGAGCATACTTGCTTTTTTAAACGACTGGTAACTGTTATCTAAACTTCTGGTTTAGTTATTAGTAGTTATCTCCCTTCAACACTTAAACCGGTTCATTCTATGCTAGCAGAGTGGAGAGGGGGGATCATTCAATTGACTGCTTCAACTACTGTCTGGCTACTAGACGATAAGCGTTATCTGAATGTTTGTATGTGTAGCATGACACACCAATGTCGAGCTTAGCCCTTAGTTTGGCTCAGGTGCGGAACTAACAAGCCGCCAAGTTGCGAGGGGGGGGGTGCGGCAACCCATTTAGGGGTCCCACAACCAGAGTTTCTTTTAGGCATCTGTTCGGGGGGATCAAACCCCCCCCCCCCCCCCCCCCCCCCGAAAATTTTTACCGCCCCCCCCCCCCCCCGAACGAAATTAAATTTATATAAGTTATATAGAAAATATATACTTTTAACAGTGTCCGCTCCCCACCCCCCCCCCCGAAGAAAGTCTACCGCCCCCCCAAAAAAAAAATTTCAAGTGCCCCCCCCCCGGAGAAAATAGTCTGGAAGAAACACTGCCCACAACCGACCATAACTAACATTTATTCTTCCGCAAACATTAATCACTTCACAAGCTGTAGTGTATACGATAAGAAAAACTTTTAACGACTTTTAAAGACTCGTTATTCCCCTTAGATAGCCAAATAGGGGGCAGGGAACACGTTCACACAATGACATTATAACTGTTCGACCGGTCCACCAAAGTGTACTGCGGCGGGATGGGGCAGGGGGTGGGGATCAAACGTGGGGTCGAAAATTGTCGTCATATTTATTGACATATTAAAAACATGTTTTTCAAAATTGCATTTTGTTAACCATTGTCTAGCCCAGGCTCTATTTCCCTTGCAATCAAACACACATTGTAGCCAGCTAAATTCTTTGTAAATATGGTGTGGGCTTTTAAAATGTACGGTACTTTTTTGGGTGGCATTGGATAGGGGCTCGAATTTGTGATTTTGGTAGAACTTGTATCCCGTACTATCCCGTATCCTGCATATAATTAAAATGAATATTGTTCTAGTAACTTTAGTTTTTATAAATGTTTACTTGTTTTTGCTTTTACAAGAAATGTGATAGTAAATATGTAGATGTTGAATTATCCCCGTTGAGTGAGTTTTTTTTAATAATTTTGGGAAAAGTAGTAGTGACCATCCTAAATTCGGTACTATTAATGTTCATCGGGAGTTTCTTTCCGAGCCTACACCATCTTTCTTAGCTTCGTAAGTATCAGATGAATAAATGTATCGTTTGTACAATTCCTAACCGTGCTTTCATCACTTCGGCACATTTTGTCAGACACTTGCCAGCACTGGTCAGCAGATATTAATTTCGCCATGAAAATTTGAGAAGTTGTTGAGTACAGCCCCTCAAAGGTTATAGGTATAACATATTGGAATGGCGACGCCCCAAGGCAACATTTGATTTAGCTCTCCGATTAAGTGGCTACCTTATTGTGGAAATGGGAAATTGGGAAGTGGGGTTATTATTTGAATCCACTGGCGGCAGTGTCATCCGGAACGAATCACATACGACGCATCCCTACAGTAGTTTACAAGTGTACCCTACAATAGGGATAACTCTCGCTAATACATTCGATGACTAAATCTAACCAGGGTTTGCTCCCATCACTCGTGAGAAAATATAACCGATGAAGACCCGTGACAACTGGGCCGTCGCCGAGGGGTAACCAGCGTCGACTGTAGCTTATAGCATGCCCTGGGGTGTCTTATTGGTAGTGCGGACAACCTAGCGCCAAAACAACTAAGATCCAAGCAATGAAGTGCTGAGATTGTTCACATTCAATTAAACTTCTGGAAAACAAGGCACACATTTAAAAATAGAAGATTAGTAACGTTTCAATGAAAACCTCACGGAAATCACCGTTAGTGTGTTGGACTAGATTTAGAGAGTCTGTTCTTCTCACTTGGAAACCTGTATGGAGCCAGCTCGCGTATTGGAAAACCTCTGATTTATTCGTAAAAGTAAATACATTTTTTAATAAACTCAAGTAAATAGAAAAAAAAAATTAGAACGGCTCTTTAGGAACACATTAATCTATAAAAGATAAATACATAATAAGTAATAAAGTATTGTTTTATTTTTCGTACGTCTTTCAGTTATTGTCCAGAAAATCATGAGAGCAAACACTTATTTAGCCAACGTTTTACCAAGTTTAACAATTCATTACTTGCACAAAATGTTTAGCTAAAACAAATTGTCAGAATATATATATATATATACACATTAAAGACATACACAACTTTTATTATTATTATTATTAAAAAATGTTTTAACCACAAGCTTTCTTATACTTAAGCATTAAAAAGAAGAAATTATAGTACTTTTATTAAATGTATAATAATGCACCACTAACTATACGAAAAGTGTGAGGCGCTTCTTCCATTTTAATAAAGTATTCAATAACTAACATAGCGATTCACTCTAACCTTTTGTTACCGTTATTGAATAAATAGAAATAAATTGTAATAATTTGAAATAAATTTAAATAAATTAAAATAAATTGAAATAAGTTGAAATAAATTGAAATAATTTGAAATAAATTTAAATACATTAAAATAAATTGAAATAAGTTGAAATAAATTGTAATAATTTGAAATAAATTGAAATAAGTTGAAATAAATTGAAATACATTGAAATAAATTGAAATAAGTTGAAATAAATTGAAATAAATAAATTGAAATAAATTGAAATAAATTGAAATTGTTTACTCAGTATTTCCCTATACCATTCTATAGAATAACTGAGCACCTATTAGAAGAACATAATAAACTAAATGACTTATCATGCGCTTGCATGTATTTTAAATAACAAATAATCAGTTTGTAAAGACTTTTAGCGGTCTGTTTTCTTAAAACCTCGACGAATTTAATTACATATATCAGAACAAAATTTGATTTTTGTAACTTTTTAAAAAACACTTTTTGCGACCCTCTAAAGACCTGTGACAATTTTTGCCGTGTTTCCGTTCAGATACATTACTGTTTTCAACTGTTGGTCAAGAGAGAGAGAGAGATAGAGAGAGAGAGAGAGAGAATGACAGATCAAAATAAACAAAGCCTTGGCCTGAGCCTACATACAAATAAAAACAATGAAAACAAAATATGAAAGAAGGGAGGTAATAAAGCAAATTTGACACTTTTTTTCTGGCGTACAAAAGAATTGTCATTGTTTAGTTCATGCTTAAGATTCTAACATTTGTTATGTACCATACTAGCGTTTAAATGAACAAGAAAGAGATTCAAATATTATAGTAAAAAAACACATAAAAGTTATGCATTAATACATTTTTGTAAACTTTAACGTAACTGGTCTTTACTGCTATATAAAAACGGAATATATACTAGGATAATTTTGTTTTTTAATAATGAAAAAAGTTAAATTTTGGATCCCTTGGTAATAGGGATAAATCTCCAATTAGAATACGGTCTGACCTCACCCCTCCCGAAGAGCCCCTGTCCATCCGGAGTGCAACGCTTTAGTTTTACCATTACCCCCTTTACTGTAAATCCCTTTAAATTTTGTATAACAACATAAATGACAACCATGTACACATTTTATTATTACGTTCATTTGTAAAACACTTCGATTTCTTTAGATGATTAAAATTATGTAAAATATGTTGATGTTTCTGTACATATTTTAAATTGCAAAAAAGTATTTAAAAAAAGTATAAGGTTCAAATACAAATAATAATGCACGTTATCATCAAAACCAATAGCCAACAAAACCTTCCTGGTCCATATTACGCCGTTTAATCCGCCTGTACCGGATTCTGCTACGGAACTACAGACGTACAGATACATGGTACTTCACGCCCGACAGCTTTAATGTAGCAGATCTGAACGACACCACAAAAAAACAAAGACCCCACACACTGGATATCCCCACACAATGGATATCTCCACAAACCATAAAGACACAGTCAGCGGGACACTCAAATGGGTCCCACCTATACTTAGTAACAACACAATCCTCAAAGGACTTAGAACATTATGCAAAACATAACCCGCCATCACTTTAATCACATACACTAACAACCGTAAATTCACCATCTGCAATGACAAACTACAATACATCTAATACTACATTAAAATAAATTACCTAGACACAACAATACACATTTGAATTGCAATACCGGGCAGACGACAAGCATGACAAACATGCGGTCAAACAAACACTAGACAAACCATTGCCAGGCTACAAACAAGAATAACCAACAACAACATAGAGATAGCCACCAACAATGGCCCCCCAATGACAGATAAACAACTAGTCTCACCCCCAACATCTAACACAGTTGTTGTACCAGATAAACAACAACACAGCAGAAAATCAACAAAATAGTCAAAACAACGGAAAAAATACCTACCCCACAAACAACTCAGCAAGCAAACTTAGAGTTAACACCACCCGCCCTCAAAAAGAAAGGAAATGATGAACAAGATAAGCCAGCAACAACCAACCTATCTAAAGCTAACAAAGAAAATGTTTTACAAGCAATCAACTCCCCACCCGTAGTACCTATCAACAAGTCAAAACTAAACCGCTGCGCAATACGCGACCTCTCATTCAGCGAAAAAAAAGTATAACACTTAGAGTACTTGTAGTACTTGTGCAGGTATAATGATGACGCATACGTGTGATGACGTATGCGTGTATAGTGATGACTTATATATCGGATAACTTGTGGACATACGATGTCGACGCATACAGGTAATGACTTAAGCAGGTATAGTATATAGTATTGAAGGGTTTATCTAATGACTTATACACGTAGGACTGTAATAATCCGTATGAGATGACTTTTGCAAGTATTTTGCGGACCCATAAAGCATACGACCATAACCCCATCATGGCGTGTCACACAGGGGAAAATTGGAGATCTTTGTAAGCAAACATAGTGTGTTCCAGAAAAAAAATTACCGCCCCCCCCCCCCGAACGAAATGAAATTTATATAATGTATATAGAAAATATATACTTTTAACAGTGTCCGCCCCCCCCCCCCCGAAGAAAGTCTACCGCCCCCCCCCCCCGAAAATTTCAAGTGCCCCCCGGAGAAAAAAGTCTGGAAGAAACACTGGTTCCAGACATATGCACTACTCTTTAAGGAACTTTTGGGGAAGTAAGTGACAGAAATATTGGACAAAGTAATCAAATGGTAGAGTATACGACTGCTAATCTGAAAGTCTTGAGTTCGAATTCGGTGTCAAGTTTCTAGAACTAAGGTCATATAAACAGGTGAACTCTACTTCACTAGCCGAATGGACTGTGAGGTTCGAAATGGAACTTTACTTACTTTAAGACACATAAATAAAGCTAAAGACTAAAATCTTAGCCACAATATTCATCCCCCCATCTGGAAACAGGGCATTTCCCCCCTGTCAATTACCCCCTCCCCCGACATTCCCCCCCCCCGACATTCCCCCCCCCCCCCCCCGACATTACCCCCCGGAGTAATTACCCTCTGTCAATTATCCCCCTGTAAATTACGCCCTGCCCAGTAGGACATTACCCCATCCCCGGACAGGGTTAGAGTTAGGGTTAGGGTTAGGGTTAGGGTTAGGGTTAGGGCTAGGGTTAGGGTTAGGGTTAGATTTAGGGTAAGGGTTAGGGTTAGGGTTAGGGTTAGGGTTAGGGTCAGGGTTAGGGTTAGGGTTAGGGTTAGGGTTAGGGTTAGGGTTAGGGTTAGGGTTAGGGTTAGGGTTGTGTCTAGCGGTGGTTTTGGTTTTGTGTGAAGTTTTAGGCTAAAGTGGATGCTTAGGTTTTGGTCTTTTTCTAAACGTTTGGATTAAAGTAGTATATAGGTATAGAATACTTGTTAAAGTTAGGATTCTAACTTGAGAGAGGGGGGGGGGAGGTAATTGACAGGGGGTAATTGCTCCGAGGGGGGGGGGGGGGTAAATACGGGGGGGGGGAATGTCCGGGGGGGGGGGGTAATTTCCAGGGGGTGATGTCCTGTAGCTCCCCCCCCCCCCTCCAACTCATCTACACAGCTTGATCCCACACTATCCTTCCGTTTATTACTTTGATATCAAAACGCGCGATATCGTTGGCGTACTTGCTTGTTAGATTAATATAATTTACGCTACTCCTAAATGTCAGCAAAATTATGAACCCCAATCGGAAAATATCCAATCTAGACCCTTCCTTTCCACATTAGGAACAAAATCAAGCGGTTTATTTTTTCCACGGCTTGTTTACTGACTATACAGTTTCTACTAGGACACATATTTAAAAAAAAAATCATGACCTTGTTTTGCATAATATTTAATGGCCAATATTTAGTACATTCCATTTGGCAGGTTTGTAGATATTTTGAGCTTAAAAGAGAAATATCAACCGCTGTATTGCAGGAACTACAATTGTTAATAATTGTGTGACCAATTAATCAAATCTCATTATATCGATAATTTGAATTTCTGTTTTTTATAATTTGGTTGCTTTTAATAAACTGAACTATATGAATGTTAGCTATAAACAAAAACATGATATTTAATAAATAGTAACAGTTTTTTTTTTGGCCTTTTTTCCTTTGGATTTAAATGGAAAAAAAATAATAATTTTGTAATTTTTATGACAATGATAGCTGGTTTAATAAATAAAATAACCTATATAATTATAACAAAGTGAACTATCTTTTGTTATCAAACCAATGTAGGTCGGTATGTGCACAGATTTAGTGTGTTGTTCTGATAACGATATGAATAATTGAAATGATATTTAAGAATGTACGTACGTCATGTGTGTTTCAGCTGCTTGCTAGGTAGAACTATGGTCCCAAAATACTGAGATAAACACACACATACATTTCTGTTTGGGATGCTATTCACAGCTGAGCTTCTAGAGTTTGAATAAAACGGTAAGAGACAGTTACAGCTATATTTGGCCAGGATATGTGTTTAACAACCCATATGAAGTCACTAAACTATGGACGACTGTTTTTTTTTTTCAAATGAAGAACGGAATGTTTAAAGTCACTAAATATCAGTGATGTAGATCAGCAAACTTTAAGGAAAAACCCAGCTTCATAATGTTTAAAAGTTATGATCAGGTAAACTAACGTATACGTTGCTGGTATAGTGAACCCTATTTGATAATTGTTAACGCAATATAACATTAACTAATTGTTATTTATTTGTGTGTTAGAATTCTTGTGAGGGTCATCGACAGTTGTTTAGTTGTTATTGGGCGTTAGGCAACCTATAATCGATAACTTTGCAATGATTTTACGATAACTACATTTTCATACATCCCTTTTTTTAGAAACTGATTACCGCCCCTCTCCCCGAATCGCATACTCCTAACTAACTTCAGAACATGTAACTTCTCTCCTTCGTTCGTTTTTAATATGACGTATCTGTGTACTAGAAAAGAACATAATCTAAGGGAAACAACTCTAAAAAAGCATAATGTCTACAAACACCCTATACTACTATAAACAATCTGACACATTCATAACAAACATGTTATGTAAATTTTCTTTTAATTGTTAGAAAAATGTCATATAACATGTAGACTTGGTAATGATTGCGTGCTTGATGAATGTAATTGGATGTCTATAATTAATTACGACAAAAATTACTAGTACTAAATATTACTGAATATTCACTATAACAGAAAGCAAGACAGTTACGTAATTTTTAAAACATTTCTTGTATTCATTATGTATGAATGGTAAATACAGCGTTTATAAAAAAATGATCCGTTATATTTTTCTCAGTTTTTAATCAGACGTGATGGACGTTCTTCGAAAGCTTGAGGAAGCGAAGTCTTACGGTTTGAGTAAGGATGAATATTTTCATCTTTTAGAGATGGAGTTGAAATTAATGGACGCTAACAAATCAAATCAGGTAAATATAACTCTAGTCTATTACATTATTACTTGTATGCATAGTCTAGGGCATCGATTTTTATCTTTCTTTGAAGATACCGAACCCACTAGTTTTATTTGCGCATTCACTGAAACCTTCCTATTACTTCTATCTTCCGCATTTACATAGTGAACCATATGAGTCGGGTATGCGTCTGATCCCTGAGACTGACTGAACGAGCCTTTGGGGTTCGATCGAACCAAAACTCAGAATCACTGGCTTTACCTTCCCTTAGAAATGTAATAATTAGATAAAAATAACTTATACTATAACAGTATTTGTTAAAAGTGTATTGGTAGCTGCAGTGAGGTTTATGCAAACAGTAATACAATATGTGTAGTGTTAGTATCCTCAAAAATAAAAGAAACGTTACGACCCAAGGTCTTCGTCAGCACACAAGAATGGTGTTAAAGACTAGACAAAAAAAAAGACAAAAAGTAAAATCATTTTGGATTTAGCTGGACAGTGAAAACGCGTATTTTCTTAATTCCACAAACATTTTAACTTTGATGTATATTCATATATATATATATATATATATATATATATATATATATATATATATATATATATATATATATATATATATATATATATATATATATATATATATATATATATATATATATATATATATATATATATATATATATATATATATATATATATATATATATATATATATATATATATATATATATATATATATATATATATATATACTAGCTGCATCCCGTGCTCCGCCACGGTAAATCTTTTTTAAATGTACCAACTTGGGAACAGAACAAAACTAAACACAACGCAAACGAACGCAAAAAAAACAAAACAAAAAAAAACAAAAAAACAAACACAACACTCATAACATAAACACAATTTAAATGCAATCATAAAGGCATATTGCTCACAGTCTAGCCCGTAGCGCCAAATCGCGCCCTTTCCAGTGATTTGCACCCCCCTCAAACTTTCGATTTGCACCCCTTCCCCCCCTTCCCGCCCTAAAACTTTCGATTTCCACCCCCCCCCCCCCTCGCAAATTTTTTCCAACCCACTTTGGCGCCCCCTAAGGTCGGCACCCGGGGACATATGCCCCCCCTCGCTACGCCTCTCCTATAAAACCCGAAAGATAGAATAATAATTAGAAATCAGTATAAATAATAGGCAGTATTTAAAATATCTGTGTTTTACCTACAATATTTCACTTTATCCATTCACGCATTTTTTTTTCCAGTACTTTAAATTTAAAAAATTTACAATAGAGTTTCATAACTAAAACCATTGCGCACCTAATGAACGTGATGACGCGTCTATAATAGTGCTGAATAGTTGATTAAAAATTATAAGTAATAAACAGTAGGGCCTACATTCAGTGAATAAAATAAATAAAAGATTGCCTTTTCTCAATCCATGCTAATTATAATTTTCTAACAATAATTTCCTCTTACACATCCGAATAATTTGCATTCACATTTTGCTAATTATATTATTGCAACACTAATTCCTTCTATGACGAACGTATATTTGCATTCACATTTTTTATTAGCGTGAGTTTAATGTATTTTTAAATTACCTCCTTTGTCAAAATTAGAAAAGAGTTAAATTCATTTGATTTTTCTAACCTACAGTTATTATGTTATTAAAATGTATCCTCTTTTTCTAGGAATATTAACGAAAACTATATTTGACATTGATCCTTTTAATATGTTTTAGCAATGTGCGTGTATTTAATATTCTCTTTACGTTATGCAAAATTGTACAAACAGTGGAAATTATAAAATAGCTCTATGCCGCTATATAAACAAACCCTACTCTAATACTTATAATAAGACACTGCGGTGCACTGAAAAGCACAGCATGGTGCGTAGTTTACTTTTATAGTCCCAAAATCTAAAGCGATGACGGACGGAAGGAAGGAAGGAAGGACAGACACAGCCCGCTTATATTATAGATATATATATATATATATATATATATATATATATATATACTAGCTGCATCCCGTGCTCCGCCACGGTAAATCATTTTTAAATGTACCAACTTTGGAACAGAACAAAACAAACAAAAACAACACAAACACAAAAAACACAACCACAAACACAACACAACCACAACACAACCACAACACAAACACAACACAACACAACACAACCACAACACAACCACAACACAACCACAACACAACCACAACACAACCACAACACAAACACAATACAACCACAACACAACCACAACACAACCAAAAAAAAAAACAACACAACCACAACATTAGAATCACCACCAAACAACACGCTTTTTAGGCGTCCGCGCCCAAAGAGACCCTTTCCAACATTAAAAATTTAAGTCACATAAATAGATCCTACTCCATAACTTACAATAAAACAATGCGATGCAAATGAATGTACGGCAAGTGGTGTTTACTTTTATGGTTCTAAGAAAACACATTGGCAATGTAATTAGAATTACCACCGAAAATCACGCTTTTCCCAGGCGTCCGCGCCCAGAGAGAGTCTTTCCACCATTCTCTATATTATAATTATAAAATTTCACCATCTGTTAGCACCAAAAAACAAAAACAAAAAATAGTGATTTTGAGAAATCATAGACTAATTAGAAAATAATATAAATAATCTTAACATTTTTCTCTTTTAATTATGAACCTTAACATAGACTAATCAATGCGGTAGTAATAAAAAAAAGATTAACTTAAATTATTGTTGAGTTAAATATATTTTCAAATTACCTCCCTTGAAACAATTACCACAAAAAAAAGTGGAATTAATTAGCTTTTTCAACCGAAAAGTCTCGAGTTCGAACCCCCGGGCAGATGAGGCTCGTTAGCTGGGGACAGCCACTCTTCTAGGAGAGACAACTCCAAAATTAAACAACTGCTGCCTTGTAGTTTGTTCTTGGTTGGACAAAGGCTATGGAAGCAAATCCAAAAAGAAAAGCAGGCTGAAATCGGAGTCAATGGCCTCAATGGCGCATAACCAGTTGACACGTAAAGCTTAATTGTGTTGGAGACGTGGTCGAGTCGGCAAAAAGCTCATGGTTGATAAATTCGAACAGTCTCGAGTTCAACCCCATTGGCAGATAAATCTCGATCCCCTTCAACACTAATAATTAAGAACGAAGAAGAAGAAGAAGAATTAGCTTTTTCGACCTACTTTTATGGAAATGTATCCATTTTTTCTAGGAATATAAACTAAAATGATATTTGACATTAATCTTTTTAATACGTTTTAGCAGTTTGCGTGTATTTAATATTTTCTTGACGTTATGCGAAAGAGTAAAAACCGTGGCAATTATAAAATAGCTCTATGCCGCTATATAAACAAACCCTACTCTAATACTTATAATAAGACACTGCGGTGCACTGAAAAGCACAGCGTGGTGCGCAGTTTACTTTTATAGTCCCAAAATCTATAGCGATGACGGACGGAAGGAAGGAAGGAAGGACACGCTCAGCCCGCTTATATTATAGATATATATATACTAGCCGTCCCGGCCAGGCCCTGCTCTGGCTTCTGTGAAAAACCTTTCTGTTAAAGACCATTACCTGTGTGTTTAGTAATCATCATAAACCCGGCATTGCACACCCAAACCAAAACCAAAACAACAAAACGCAAACATAACGCTAACACAATTACAAATACAAACGAAAACAAAAACCTAACAACTAACCCAACCACAACCACAAACACCAATACGAACACAAAGAAAAAAAACGAAAAAGCAAACGAAAACAAACCGAATCCAAATGCAAAACCAACCACAAACCCAAAGAAAAAAACACAAACGAAAAAACAAACGAAAACAAACCAAATACAAACGCAAAACCAACCACAAACACTAATACAAACACAAACGCAAAGAAAATAAAACACAAAAGAAAACGAAAAAAGAAAGAACAAAAACGAACCAAATCAAAACGCAACCACTAACGCAAACCCAACCTAAACACAAAGAAAACACTAACGCGAACATAAACGCACAGTGCTCAGAGTCTAGCCCGGGGCGGAATCGCCTGTTTCAGCTTAATAAACGACTATAGTACCCCAACTTTTGCACTCACTTTAATGAACGTAGGCGCGAAACCGAACACGGGAGGCCCGGGACCCCAAATAGCACCCTGTCTGGGCGCCAGAGGACGCACCATGACGTCACCGCCTGATTGAACTTAGTAAACGACTATAGTACATAACTTATTCATAGTCTTTGGAACTCACGCGAACGTAGATACCATAGCGTACACCGTAAGGCCCGGGGCGCCAAATAGCACCCTGTCGGGGTGCCGGAGGACGCCCGGATTTGATTCACTTAAAGACTATAGTAACCTTTCTTATCCATTGTCTATCGCACTATTCAAAACAAAATTATGCAGCATAGCGCTCACATGATAGCCCAGGGTGCCAAATCGAACCGTGCAAGGGCGCCGGCGGACGCGCCTGTTTCAATTTAGTGAACAAAAATGATAATACTCCAAGCTTATCCGTAAATGGAAAGAAATAAACATATAGGATTTGTAGGACCTGGCTTATTAAATGTTATTGATTTAAAAAAAATAAAAATTATTGAACAGTATGTTCAGTGTATAGAATAAATAAAAGGCAGTGTTAAAAATACCTAACGACATTGCACTTAATCAATCCCCGCTAATTATGTAATTATTTTTTTTTCTTAACACCAAAAACAAAGTAATAAAATGTAAATTCTTTCTTCTTAAGAATTTTTTTTATTAAAGGGAAGTAACTGTGCAGTCAATACATTTTCGACACAATTTTATAAATTTTATAAACGTCGATACACTTTTTAAAAATTTTATGTCGCGTTCATAATTGAAAATTATTCTTCTAAGTAAATAGAGTGAAAATTGTTTTTAAAGACTTTCAATGGTAATTTTTTGACTCGTACATTTAGACTGTGAGCACGATAAAAAATCTAACACTTAAATCCATAGAACTGTCAACGACAAACTTTTTTGCCACACGTTACAGAACTGAGCTTTATATATTAGATATATATATATATATATATATATATTAAATACCAGAATAAATGTATGTTGTTTTTTTCAGATGACGAATAAGTCTGCTAACAATGGTAATTTCATTTTGACATTTTCATCCTAAATAATTGCATAACAAATAATTAAACTGTTTTTAAAATGAACATTCTGAAATGCCTTACTATGGGCCTATGTGCGAAAGCAGACTAAACCATTAAATTACAATATCTATTTAATCGGATAATATAATGTTATTGAAATATCTCATAAATATAGACACATAAAATAAACCACTCCGTAACCCAGTTCTGACTAAGTCATCAAAATAAGTTACATTTTTTTTATTTACATAATATAAACAATTGTTACTCTAGTGTTTAAAAACAGTACACATCCTCAAATATTTTTTGTTTAAATCTCAAATCTTCAGATTCTCCGTACTTGAATAGTGTCTTGCAAGACATAAGAACAGACCAAGAAGAGCATAAGAAAACATTGAATCTTGTCATTCAGAAACAAGGAAAACTAGAACACAACCTCCAGCAATTCTTCAGTCAACAGGAAAGTCACATGACGGAACTCGACCAAAGCTTAACATGGAAGCTTGACTCTACGCTGGAACAAATACAAGGATGTCTGCGTGCAATACTTCAACAAATTCAAGACGAGCATTCCGAGCTAAAGACTTCATTAATAAACGACGCTGAAAGATCAAAATGTTTTGTGAGAGATAAACTCAACACGGTACAAGACGTAAAAATGTCAGTGTTAAGCAAATTTGAGGATGAGAAGAAGTATTTAAAGGACAAGTTTCGACAGGCTCAAAGTGAAATTTTTAACAGAGTAGTCGGGAAGTCGCTGGATGGCACACAGTTCTGTGAAGATCAGGGGAGAGAACTTAGTGAACAAAGAACGATAATTTCAAAACTTCAAAATAAAAAATATCCTGACAGACTAAGTGGTTTGCAGAACAATCATATTCAAAGTCAGTCAGATGCAGAAAGGCAGAAAAGGCAATCAATACCAGATCTAAATAATTCAAGTTCATATTCCTCTTTTTTCGGTATTATTGAAGCTGATGAAAATAGACATGAAAGAGATGAATCTATTGTAGACAACGCACTACAAGAAATAGAAAAAAAAGAAACACAACGGATCCATGGAGTGGAAGAGGAAATGGTAGGTGCCTTAACAAGCGCTGTGGGGACTGGAGTGTTGAATATCGATGAGAGATCGATTAAGGATGAAGGAAACATGGATGCCACGATAGCAGCTTACGAGGTAGGTGAGAAAGTGTCAAAAAATGTCAGACCTGAGTCAGATTCTGGAACGTATGTGTCACTGCTAGGTAGGCATGTATTAGACACCGGTAGGCAAGTATCAGAGCCCGGTAGGCAAGTGCCAGAAGGTAGGCAAGTATCAGACTTCGGGAGGCAATTATCAGACTCCGGTAGGAAAGTGCTAGAAACAGTTGATCATGTAACAGATTCAGGCGGTTATGTTTCACAGCTAGATGATCAAGTCGCATTGCCTGGTAGGGTGGCGTCGCATTCAGGTGGGCAGGTAACAGACGCACCTGAAGATGGTTCAAATCTGCCTGGTCAGGATCAATCCAGCGACAGCCTCAAGAGCGAGCTAGACAAAAAGTTGGTAGAGAAGGCTGTAAGCCTCACTGTGTTTGATATGAAGACTTTGGTAGGACAGTCTACTGAGATAATTATTGAAGCCATGGAACTTGCGAAACAAGAACATTTGAAAGTCGTCTACGATTTCATGACGATGTTTAAGTATGAAATATTTGAAGTGGTCGAAAAAGAAGCGCAGTTAATCAGGGACAGGATGGTAAACAGTTCAAAACCCAGAAATAGTTATGTCTGTGATTTCTACGTGAAGTTTGCCAGGGAGTTGATCCGGTTTTCTGACAGCTCTCTCAGCCCACCCTGGCATATCGACCAGCTAAGGTCATGTGTCAAAGGTTACGTCGAGGCCACCACAGGTGGTGACCTCTACGTGGCCTTAATCTACGGTAGACAACCCCAAACGGTTGGACTCCAGCCTCGTTCGGGGTGTAAACTAAAGGTCAAGGCTACTGTCAAGGACACGTCTGGCTGTCTTCCGGATGTGGTGGTGGGTGACGTCATGTGGAGCTGTGATGAGGCGGGGATCAGAAACAACCGCGCGTGGGGTAAAAAAATTGGCGTCCTGTCGTGTGGGCAGCTTGTGGCCAATGGCTACAGCAACATGGAAGGCTACAGCTGTAGGTCGCTGCTCATTCGATACGAGATTCACGTTGTTTAAAGACTGAACAAAACTTAGATCACTAGGTTGTGTGCTTGTGTATAACCATGCGGTACATGTTGCTAATGATCGATCTAGACCAGGGGTCTCCCAACTACGACCCGCGGGCCAGTTGCGGCCCGCGTAGTCCTCTCATCCGGCCCGCTGAGGTCTTTTTGTGCAAGGAAAAATCGTTTGTTGGTGATGGCTGAGGAACTTTGCCGAGAAAAATCAAAGACATGCCTGGAAGAAACTGGCCCCCGAACTGAAATTCAACTAAAGTTAATGCGGCCCTCGGACTGTAAAGTTTGGAGACCCCTGATCTAGACGTAGATGACTAGGTTTTGTACTTTATATCATAAGATGGTAAATGTTGCTAATCATTGATCAGGAATAAGATCACTAGGCTTAGTACTTGTATATAACCAGTAGGTAAATAAGGCCTTTAGACTGCTAACCCGAAAGTCTCGAGTTCGAATCCGGGTAAAAGTCGGTAGAACGTTTTTTGAGTCCACTCAGCTCTAATTAGTACCAAGCTCATATTAGAGAAGAAAAAGATGGTTGGGCAAAGGGCAGATGACACCTTTCCTTCATATGCCGCGGTTAAGAAACATATGAACTCTACGACATCTGCCCAATGGATCCTTAGGTTTAACGAGGATAATCTACTTTTAAATATTGTCCGTAATTGGACTTAGATCATTAGGTTTTATACTTAATATATCACCATGTGGTAAATGTTGTTAATGATTGATCAGGACTTAGATCACTAGGTTTTGTACTTGTATGCCACTATTATATGAATGTTGTTATAGACAAGGAAATATATCGCTTCAGTGTTATAATGATAGTTTTCTATGAGATACATGCTATTAACATTGTTAAAGAATGATTAATACCTAGATGAGTTGGTTTTGTATTATTCATTGTTAGACACACAATTTATTAGAACATAGATACATGACTTTAAGTTGCTAAAAAGTTCATAGAACTTAGATCACTTGGTCTTATAAGCGTATTCTGTGTAAGATATATTTTTTAAAGATTTATTATAACTTAGATCAATATGTTTTGTACTTGTACCGTAGCATTATAAATAAACCGTTTTGTATTCCCAGAAACATAAGACAAATAAAAAGATGTAAACTACATGTTTGTTTAGCTTTCTTTAGCTGGTGACAATGAAGTTGTTTTTATAATTTTAGTATTTTCTTGATACAACTATTGCGCACATTTGCATGACGTTGTACGAGAAGTGAACGATGGTGTTACAAGTTACCTTAGAAGTGATTGCGAATAGCAAAGCAAATGTTGTTTGGAGTTAGGGGGTGGACTGGCTTGTCGGTCTACCTGGAAAAAATCACGTGGCGCCTATGAAAAAGAATCACGGAGACCCCCTTGTAATAGTCCTATTTGAGTTTCGATTATTTTTTTTTTGCACTCACTTCCTCTGTCTGTCGTCAGTCTGTCTGTCTGGACAGAAACGCCGGATCGAGAATTCTGACACTTCTAACGACAGATACGGTTCGTAATTGGTACGTGGATCAAGACATGAAGACAATTCATTATGACATTAAATTTGACTTAATTGGACGCCTAATTATTTTTTTATGAATTAATTAATTTAAAGTTTTATTTTACCTTTCTCTCACGCCAAAATTCAGGCTTTGATGGAGACAAAAATTCAGAATGAAACAAAATTGTAATCTGGGGTTGGGGACCGCTTTTTAAAATAACCCGGAACTCTTGTACACAGCCCGTCGACCCAGCGGCGTCGCTAGGTTGACTGTCACACCTCCCGCCCCAGAAACGAAATGATAATATATAAAAAGATGTATATATGTATATACATGTATATATATATATATATATATATATATATATATATATATATATATATATATATATATATATATATATATATATATATATATATATGTGTGTGTATATATATATATATATATATATATATATATATATATATATATATATATATATATATATATATATATATATATATATATATATATATATATATATATATATATATATATATATGGTTGTGTCGGCCTACATAGGCCTATAACTTTAATGTTGCCGCATACGCGTACACATATGTGCATAAGCTTTAATCACTGCAAACTTAATAGTAAGGATCTTTATCTATAGTATGTTAATAATACAGTTGGATGTAGCATTGTTTTCCTATAGTTAGCACGTTTACGTCATGGTGTCACCCACACCCTCTTGAATTAATTCTCAATTTGTACATAAAAGACTATTTAACTTTAAATAATCATTAATGAGACTAGCAAAAAAGCATTTTTCTTCTGCAAACTATGCAATTATTTGCCATGGTATCACCCCCCTAAATGATGTAAATGATGTCACCCGGTGCGGTCTACACCCCCCCCCCCCGAGTCCACCCTTGGTTGGTTGGAAACGATAAAAGCACTATCAACATTTCAAAAATGCAACAAGGGATTCTAACGATTAGACACATTGATCGTGTTTTTATGAACATTTCTAGCAACCCAACACGAAATGAAAAGATCGAATGTTTATTATGCGCAATATCCTTTCTCAGATGGAACATTGTAATTGTAGATCATCACAAAAGGTCTGGTTATGAAAGTGGGTATACATACATAAAAAAGTTTGAGGCAATGGGCTAGCTGTACTACTAGGCAGTAATGTAGGGTTCTATTAATTTTTTTGTAAGCTTTCAAATTGTAAACAATACAAATACTAGTTATTTCCTATTTGTGAATGCTATGGCTGGTGCGTGGTAAATGTTGAATGTGCAATGTGTATTCACTAAGGATTTGACAACCGAGATACGAATCTCTGTGGGCAAGTTCGTTAGTTCAATATTTTCAGAACGGGAAAGTGGGCGCTGAAAGAAAATCAAATAAAAAATTCCTTTGTTGAATCTTTATTCGTTTAATAATTAAGTGATCTCGTGCAACCTTATATTTATTGTTAGATTGTCGTAGTTGAGTTGTCGGGATCGAGTGTTTCAAGATTATTTAGTTTACTAGTAGTGACTTCGGATGGAAAGAGACATAATGTATTTCTATACCACCATTCTCTTGATGGCATTAAGTATAAGCCATTTAGTGGATTCCAAGAGTTTAGTGAACGCTGCTCTCTTCAAACCTTCGTACCAGAGCTCCACGTTTGTCGACGGTATCGCTTACGACACTGCAAATTATGGGAATGACGGTAGAAGAACGCAAGATCCAGCACATTTGAACTGCACGCACTCAAATTATGATAACCCGGGATGGTGGCTGGTGGATCTAAAGGGGTGGTACCTCGTCGATAACATCGTGTTCACAAACAGGTAAGCTTTTATTATTGTTTTAAATTCGAAATTTAATACTGAAGTTTTATGCCTAATTTTTTTTTCAAGCTACTCAAAACCAGATGTCGTAATATAAATGCTTAAAAATCATTGACACTTGAACCATTCTTACGTAACGTATTTTTTTTCGACAAAACAATAACAGTAGATGCAAATGTTAAAGTAATTTATAAATTTCCTTAGGAACCTACTCCGTTTTTCACACTTAAATTGGCTTGAACTTAAGTCATTCATGATTGTGTACATACAATTACGCATTATTTTAAAAAAAATAGTTATACATTTATTCCTAGTTCTAAATTCATTTTAAAAGTTTTTTTTCTCAAACCGTAATTCGACTTGTTCCATTAACGAAATGTGCATTATAATTATATTCGTTTTACCCACAGTGTCTCGGAGTCAGCTATATTCGAAGTATAATAATTGTATTTATAAAACAGTGTAGAAACATCCGAGCTATTTTAGTATGCGACCTATTATGTGACAGAGCGGGCTTGCGGTAGAGAGCTAGACTGCGAAATAGAGTTCGAATCCAAGTTCAAGACAGAAGACCGTCCCTGAGTAAACTAAGCACTAATTGGTACCTAACTCAAATCAGGGAAAGTAAAGGCCTTTGGGCATAGTGCTGACCACACTGCTTTCATATGCCGAAGTCACAAGAACAGGTAAACTCTACTTCACTTGCCACATAGACCATCAGGTTTGCTAGATGAAATTATACTTTTTAACTTGCTGTGATCTATTATATCATTGCGTGGTGAAGAGATTAAATAAAATATGTTTGTGTTAGGGGAGATCCACTTACTGTGTTTTTTTTTTTGCAAGCTTTTTTTGAACTCACTGTCTCTGTCTGTCTTTCGTCAGTCGTCAGTCTGTCCGTCTAGATCGAAACGCCCGAGCGGAATTACGGGCACTTTTTACTGACAGATACGGTTCGTAGTTGGTACATGGGTCAAGACATGAAGACAATGCAGCATGACATTAAATTTGACTTCATTGGATGCCTAATTAATTTTTTATGAGTTAATTGAAATTTTGACCAAATAGTAGGCATTCTTACCCAACTATTCCGCACTATTATACAATGGTTTTTAGTCATGCAACTCTATTGTAAATTTAAATAATTTAAAGTACGGAAAAAATTAATAAAAACGCTTTACTAACAAGCTTTTATGTAATAATGCATTAACAAGTAGAAAAAAGAATTATACACTACTATTTAAATAACTATAAAGAAAAGCGTGGGTCTCTTCCTAAATATTAGTAAGGGTATCCAATAGATATTGAAGTGACCCACGCTTTTGTTAATAGTTATTTAACTAGAAGTGTATAGATTATTTTCTACTTTTTAGTTCATTATTTCATAAAAGCTTGTTATTAAAAAGCTGCTTTTTTTTCTTTCTAGATAACAAATGACAGCTAATGAGCGACTAGTTTGTTTTGTATCCTCTTAACAGATTGGATTTCGTCGCCCCACGATTGGCGAATTTCAAGATCGATGTGTTTAGAACAGACCCGCGCTTGATGCCAGGGTTCCCGTGGGTGTCTGGTGACGTATGCTACCAGCAGGTCAATCCTCTAGGGCCTGGGACTTTTTTCTGGAACTGTACAACTCCAGTGTTGGGGAAGTTTCTTAGACTTATAAGGTATTGTTAAGGGTAAACACAATAATATGTGTTGGGAAATTTCTGAGGATTATAATGTAAAGTTAAATTACAAGAAACAAAAGCGATATTAAATCAAATAACTGCTGCCTTGTATATACTCTTGGATAAACACATTACGGGTCATCCATAAATGACGTCACGCTTTTTTTGACCATTTTTACCTCCCCCCATCCCCTCCGTTACACGTCGTCACAAAAAGCCAGACCCCCCCTAAAATGACGTCACACCTCATACTACAATCCCCCTCACAATTGCAGTTGAATGTTTTTTTAAACATCGATATTTTTCTAAAATCTTGACTGAACTCTGTCGAAATAGAGTATTTTAATCAATTCCTATTACAATTTATTAAAACAGTTTTCTAAAACGCGAAGTAACGCCTAAAATTCGTTTTCTAACATTGCTTTTTGATAATGCAAAAGTGTGACGTCTCACCATCTAAACCCCAACTCCCCTCATCACATGCCGTCAAAAAATTACGAACCCCCCTCCACCCTACGAGTGTGACGTCATTTATGGACGACCAATGGGAGTAGATCCAGTAGGAAGATCAGGCGTAAATCGGAGTCTGCGGCATATATTGCGTATCAGAGGTTTAAATTTACTACATATGTTGGATGGAAATACGTCCACTATTAAAATTAAGAACAAACAAGAAGAAATACTGTATACGTAGGTGGTTAGTATTATTTTAATAATCACGTATACAAAAACTGTCATTGAATCTGTAATATTCAAAAATATGTATATACATCTACAATGAAACGCCGATATAAGTATCAGCTATCCATATATTGCAAGAAAAATTACCCAAACACAAACACATTAACAAAAGTCAACGAAAGTAAGCACAGTTAAACGTTCCTGTTACGGCCGATTGTCAATTCTCAGAATTAACAATGAAGCTTTGTAAAGACTAAATAGCGCATCATGTATTCAATGTAAACACAGTAGTAGAATGAAGATGACAAGTTTTGTTTTTAAAAAGTAACTTTCGGAATAGTATAAATACATTTGTTTTTTCTTCCCATGAAGACTCTTATTTATTTAATGTTAAAATATGTTTTTTAAAGATTGAAAATAATT